ACACCCTGGGATTTTTAATGACCACAGAGAGTCAGGACCTCGGTTTTACGTCTCATCCGAAGGACGGCGCCTGTTTACAGTATAGTGTCCCCATCACTACACTGGGGCATTAGGACCCACATGAGCCGCAGGGTGAGCGCCCCCTGCTGGTCCCACTAACGCCTCTTCCAGCAGCAACCTTAGTTTTTCCCAGGAGGTCTCCCATCCAGGTACTCACACCTGCTTAGCTTCAGTGGGTTGCCAGTTGTGAGTTGCAGGGTGTTTGGCTGCTGGCATATGAGGATAGGAGGGCCAGCTCAACATTCCATCAAGGATGCCGGAATGACAACCCGAGGAAAGCCAGGCCACAGCCCGCTCACAGGCACAGGAGTCGGAAAAAGCATCCCGTGACTAGAATAGGAGAGCTGAGAGGAAAAATATGCAAGAGAAATAAAAGCGCCACTTGTGGGGTAAGTAGGAGGCTCAGCACTCTGTTACGGATGTCGGAAGGGACGAACCATGGAGAGGCAGGAGAGCAGAAAAAGACCCATATGCTCAGCAGTTCAGGAGTCATATAGAAACCAATGCCCTCAGGCCATGGACTGGACCGACCTGTTGCTAGGCGAGTCTCAGGACATCTGAACCCCAATGCTGAGCGAGGAGCAAAGCAGAAGAGCGCCCTCTAGGTGTACTGGGCGTGACACTGTCAAAAGGCTGAAGCTGAACCTTAAGTGGACGTTGCAACAAGACAATGACCCAAAACACTCAAGCAAATCCACAAAGGAATGGCTCAAAAAGAAGAAAGGGAGGGTTATGGAATGGCCAGGTCAAAGCCCAGATCTTAACCCCATAGAAATGCTGTGAAGGGACTTGAAGCGGGCAGTACATGCAAGAAAGTCCTCAAACATCACACAGTTAAATGAGTTTATAAGGAGGAGTGGGCAAAAATGTCTCCAAGTCGATGTAGGAGACTGATAGACAATTACAAGAAATACCTACAAGAAGTGATTTCTTCCAAAGGGGGCAACACCAGCTATTGAAGCTAGGGGGTGTACTTATTTTTTCCCACAGCAGACAATTGCATTTCTGACTTTTTTTTTGTTGAATAAATGATTGAAAATAATCATATTCATTGTTATTTGTTATATTAGATCACCTTTATCTATCAGTATTGTTGAAATGAAGATCAAATATCCATACATGCAAATATTTGAAAATCACACATTTTCATGGGGC